TCATTAAATCACAGTTGTAGCACATTAGGAAATCACAGAAAATTGTTCACACAAATATCGTGCAGCTAATGACCGAGGTTTAGCAAGTGCTGCTCAACAACCTAACACCCGTTATACACACTTACGAGTAAATTGTAAATTTCAAGCTTTTCTAGCATATAGAACTGCCTGAATTAGTTTTGTTCGAACAATTTATTACGTTATATTTCGTCCAGTAAAATCCTCAACTGAAGAAAGAAATTTCTATTTCTATATTTAATCAATTTTTCATGCTATTCTTAGCACAGTAAAATTCCCAAGGGAAGAACAGAATTTCGATTTTTATATTTAATAAATTTTTCATGCTATTCTTGGCCCAGTAAAATTCCCAAGGGAAGAACAGAATTTCTATTTCTGTTTCTGACGGTACAACATAACGTTAAATTGCTTCAAGTTTATTTATAACAGATACCACAGTGGCTTATAGAAGATGAATACAAGCGTACAGGACCATAGTGACCTTGACCGAGCACAGGTTCGTTTAAACGGGAGAAAAAAAAACGGATAGGAACCGAGCAACAAATTCGTGATAACATAAGAGTTTAAGATCTTAAAGCCTGTGAAAGGCCGCGTGCACAAAAAGCGCGATAAGAGGATCCTCTCGAGCGGGTCTTTGTAAAAATGAATTACGTTACGTAAGCTCTCCATCTCCCTCCCCCCGCCCACGACGATGGACCGCGATTTATTTCGAGAAATCCTATATTTCTTTAAATTCTATCTGCCGCCAGAAAAAGGAACTCTGTTCCAATTTTTCTCGTCGACTGGAAGATATTTTTGTACAGAACTTCTGTGTCATCCAGACCACAATCTCTTCGATCATCGAAATCTTCGTGTCCAGTTGATACTGTGTACATTTAACATACATAAAAATAATTATATTTTTAGATAGTGAGAACTATAAATATGCGTATGAAGTCGTTACAATTGAAAGTGAAAAGATTGTTATATCAGAAATTGCAGTGTATATTTGTCAGGTTGTTTTGGTAGGCTCTAGGAATTCGTTCTTTTTCATCTGCTAGCAAATTGATCGACAGAATTGATTTGTTTTAATGACGTACAATTTGTATACCATTCGTGTACGAATTATTCATGAACGATTGCTATGCAGACCGATTATGCATGAATTTCATTCAACATTTCCGACTTGTTTCTCTGCGTAGAATCACCGCCGTTCTTTTGTACCACGAAACACCGTGTATATGGAGTGTATAACATGAATAATATAGCAGTCAAGAATAAACTTTTGAATAGATATTGTTATACAATTTGTCAAAAGGCTATCGCATTTATTTCACCGGATTACGTACCGAACTACGAATCTTATTTCAAAGTTAAGAAAAATTTATCACTAGACCATGATAAAGGTAAAAATCGTGAGAATACGTTAATCGAAATTTCATAAAAATTTGTACACTTAATTGTATATAATTTGTAAAGTATATGAACGAACACGTGAGTTATATATATTGGAAAAAGATAACAATTAATGGAAAAGAATTCCACGTGAGGATATTAAATATTATTTAGTTTGATCGTATCGTAATAAAAAGAATCGTATGCAGCTGTTCAGTGACAACGTAATCATGAAAGAAATACATAAAGTGGAAAGTGGTGGTGTTAAGTAGACAGTGATTATCGGATGGCAGCCTATCGGTTTTTTTTTGTTCACACTGTTAAAGAATCTTTCCACCGATAATGTAATAGCCGCCGGTGTTATCACAACGATCTCTGCGTCGAGTTGAATGCGATAAAAAATGCAAATTCGTCGATAACACGATAACCGATCGGTGAATGCAAATACTTCGGCGGGAGCCTTGAACTGAATTCATAAATTGAGAAAAGTCGAACCGAGGGAGGACCCTCTTTGTATCTGTGATCTTGTACGCGTTGTATTACCATGAAAACGTGAAACTGATTTAACATTCGAGCATGAGTACTTGACGTATTCTATAGAATTACTCATACTCTCACTCTAAATGGCAACAAGTAATTTGTTAAAGAAAAAACGTAAAAAGAATCTTGCCATGAAGTACGATTACACAAAGGTATTGTCAATGTTTCTAGTAGACAAAATAGGTCATGAGTATTAATTTCCATGTTCAAAGTTAATACTCAAAAGTGTTTTATATTCGATACAACGTCCGCCATCTTGTCATCCTCAAACATTTCTCTAGTCGTCCGTGAACCGCAAGGTATCGTTCAATTCTTACCTATTAATTAACCATTTTCTATACTTAGTCAGACATAACGGAATCCCTCGCAAGAGTGTGAGAAGTCCAAAAATTCAAAAATTTCATTTTATCGCGCGAAATACCCTCCAACACGTGGAACCACCACCCAGACAAATATTACGAGTTGAAGTCCAGCATTTCACGCCAAATGGCGCCAGTGTCACCTTGCTTAATTACACGAAATGCTACGTAACGACTCAGTTTCTTTTCGTTACTATGAAAAATTCCTTGTTTTCGCCTCGTGACACTTTTCTTACAGTACTGTGCTACAAGAAATAGCCTGTATTTAAAAGATGCATCTTTGGAAACTTGATTTTAGAGTAATGTCTCGATGAATGCGACATACTCGGGTCCACTTCGGAGCATTCATGGCACGACGGAATGGTTTTTAGCCCCTCATAAATTTGTTTTTTTATCTCAAATCGAGTCTCAGCTTAGCTTCTGTTTACTATGTTTTAATTGGTTCCATAGAGGGATTCCCCCAATGGTGGGAATAGCGCCGTTGCTCGTGTCGCATTCATCGTGGAATCACTGTACAGAGAATCCTCGTCGAGTATTCGAAGGATCTACTGCACTGAAAATTAAATATTTCATAAACTAAATGGTATACTAATAAAATGGTCATAAACGGCTGTAACAAATATCATTAGCTTCAGAATTCCAAGCTCTATCGCAGCATCAGACCACATTAAAAAGTCAGCGTTACACGTAGGAACCTCTTCTTGTTAGTGCCGAGGAGTCTTCGAACACTCATCGAGGATTTTCTGTATATTCCATGTTTTTCTTCACCACCGTTCGACTCGGTCGTCCGCCATATTGGAATCATCCAGATGAAACGCGCGTCCCATGAACAAGGAACGACGAAAATATCGTCGCGGTAACGTAATTACACCGTGCAGGTGTATATACTTCCAAGTTTGATTAAGTTTCGGCGTCGGTTGTTCGACTATTCGGAAGTTGATAATTTCGTGAGGCGTTGGATGGTGTATATTAACGTTACTGCCCCCCCCCCTCCCGTAATACGGCCGTAATCACGGTACGGGCGAGTATGTTTTCGTAGCAATGAAAACGCTTCAACGGAGTCCGAAGTCGATTTCGACCATTTATTGGTGCCCGCTAAGTAAGCTCTTTAACGACTGCACCAGCTGGAGAATGTAAAGAACGACGCGACGTGGTGAAACGTGTGGCACAACTTGCAATGAAAACATCCTACCCCTCGGCGAAATGAAATAAACAATGTCAAACAACATTTTCTTCATACGAATCATCGATGGAATCTACTTCATGAAATGGCTGCCGTGGTATGGTCAGTTCTTCCTACTTTTGTTTGTGAAAAGAACTTCTATTTGGGGATTAGTGATATCAAAATTATGGTAAAATTCATTTATTCGGAAACGAAGATCTCTGGAAATGTTTTTGCAGTCTTAATTTAGGTTTTATCGGGGTTTGGTGCCATTTGGCAGATTGGTGGGAAATAAATAGTGGTTTATAATGTGTTTGGATTTATCATATTACCTCTGTTTTAATTGCAGAGTATGAACTTTTTCAGGTAGCGATATAAAAGTTTAGTTAAATTGTTTCATTCGAAAATGAAGAGCTGTGGAATTATTTTTCTGCATTCTCAATTTACGTTTTTATCGGTAATGGCTGCCTTTTGTCAGATGAGACATAGATGGCCAGTGAATATATGTTAAGATTACCGTTATTGCCTCTACAGTAATTGCAGAATATGAATTTTTAAAATTGTTTTTAAAAGGTAACGAAGATTAAAGTTTGATCAATTCGAGTGAATCGCAATGGATAGTATTGGATCCATGTATAGCTGTTGAAGAAATGGATAGATCAATAGTTAGATTTGTTCTATTATACTTTGAAACGTCCTGCATAAAATGTCGAAGTTTCAAATACACAAGCACATTAATGAAATGCAATGCTCGAACCCAGGCGTGGCGAGTCACGCAATTTGGTCGCGTGACGATACGTTTTTCGTTACAAAAAGAAATTGCGGAATGATCTTGACTATGACCTCGCTTCGATCACGCGTCCACGATACGTGCATAGTTGTTCATTTTTTTCTCCAGTTCAGGAACGATTTTTTACAGAATAAATTGCAATAGAAAGAATAGTAAAACCTGTAAATCGTGGAAAGTGATTGTGATAGAGTCGGAGTGGCTTTTCGATGACCACGATCGATCGATGGATCTTCTACTGTCCATTGGACTTATTACGTGACTGTTGTTTCGAATGAAGAATCGAAGGGAGGAGACAAATGGAATTGAATCCCATCGGTCTTTCTTTAGGTTGATCCTCTGAACGATAACTGAAACTATTAAGCAGAGGACATAGGTGAGGTCATCGATTTTACTTTGGTCGGATCTCTTCTGAGGAAACTTTAAATTGGGGAAGTTAAATTAAAGAGGGTACGAGTTTTAAATTTCGCGAATCAGGTCGATTACGAGATCAGAAACACACGATTATTAATGTTACATTGAAGTTTTTAACATTGAAAGTGTGTGATAATTGATTCCTAAATGGGTTAGTAGTTTTTCGAAAATTGTTTCTCGAATATTTTCATACCGAGTAAAGGGACGGTGTGTTCGAAAGAGGTGTTATAAAATAATTTTACACGTGTATTTATTGAGAGGATCGTAATCTAAAGATATAGAATAATAAACATGTTAGATGTTTGTTGCACGTCTATTAACATTCTTGTGTGTTTTTTGTTGACAGCTCGTGATCTGAAGGCGTCGTAGCTATCCGCAATGATCACTATGGACGTGCAAACTGAGGTGAGCGAATGCATCGATTGGATATACAGGGTAACCCAGTTGAAGTCATACACGCAATTATCTTCTGAATAGTTTCTTATAGAAAAAAATGTTTCAATTTTTTATGCGTGTGTCTTGAAAATTTCAAGGTGACCGTTGTATTTTTTTTTTTAAATAGAACAATATGTTTTTAGAACAGTAACATATTATTGGGTCCATGAATTCTACATGGAACAGACTACAGGTCTATTTGAATAAAACTATATGGTTCCATTAAAAAAAAAAGCAAACGTCACCTTGAAATCTCGAAGACAATTCCATTTTCGCTGAGGGACATTTTATACTTCATATTAAATGAACTATCATTAAGTTAAAATGTTTTGAAAAATACATTTATTTAAATTTAATTATAAGGGGAGGTTTAAATTTTATATTTAATAAATTTTTGTATCGATTGTCGTATAAATCAATAATAAAAATCAATTTCTGCGATAGCAGAACCCTTATATGATTAGAAATAGGGACATTGACTTTAGTTTAGGAGATAATTGCGTGTGTCACTTAAAATAGGTCACACTGTATGTATATGTATACATTAGTTAACATTCTTACGGGAATATCAATTCACGTATATTCATAGTATTTTACCTCCTTTAATGTTGGTTCGTGGCCAGCAGAATTCGCGAGCTCGAGCACATTCCCACTCTCGTTTTGTTCGGCCGTGCAATGTGTGTCCGCTCTATTTATGGTAATTACACAAAAACGATCCGGAAACACGCGAAGATACTTTAGTGCGTTCCATCCGCTCCATTCGACCTCCGTTAATGCAGCGTTATGTAATTACGCGACCGGTGTTAATTGCTCCTTCTATCGATTTACGTTCCATTTGTTCTTGCAACGGGTTCTCTGTACATCCAATTCACTAACAACATTGTGTGTTGTACATTCCAAGTCTTTGTATTATTTGACATTTGAAGTTGTATTACATACTGTTAACGCATTATTTTATTTTATTTTCGTATTATTTGTACTCTGGTATTTAATTGTGTTTTAACAGTGTAGCTTTATTAGTCCAACTATCAGGGAAGAGGGGGTAGCATTGGTCACTTAAATGAAACACATAAGCAATATACAGGGTGAATCACTTAATGTTTGCACCTTAAATATCTTTGTTTTTAAAGATACGTAAAATGTCTTAAGATCAAAATTGAATGGTTCAATGGGGCTGACACAATGCCAACATTTTTTTATTTTTATATCATTTTTGTTAGAGAAATCAAGGTTACCTTCATTTTTTAAAATGGAACCACCCCTTTTTCCGTGATCTTGAATGACCTTGAATAATTATAGTCACTGAATTCCTAATTAAAGGGACTATCATCATTTTTGTTTAAGAACTGTTAAAAGAAATATAGGTATCCATTTATAAAAACGAAGTTGACCTTCAAATGACCTTGAAAATGTTCACCAGATTAAAAATAAATAACGTCATTTTCTTTCCCCCTCAAAACCAAACAGCTTTTATCTAAAATACTTTCTTATGAAACGTTTTGTTTTTATGATGCTTCCATCTGTCAACTTAAATGCTGCAACCCTGTATATAGATTAATTCATTAGTACACCTAATAGAATCGATACGTTGTAATAGAACGGTAATCGAGTTCTTATAGGGTCAATCAATCGGGCAGGTCGAAATACATATATCTTATTATCGAAATATATAATATATATATATTGCCAGATTATTGGTCACTGCGGTCACGCAGGAATTATATGCGGTAAACAGGTGTGGTTTCCGGGGGGCGTTAAATCATGTAAGGGGTACATAATGAACACAGTTTGCGAAGACATTCAGTTCGGGATACATGTTGTTATCGTGGCGACGATTACATCGAAGTTTTCGCATTACAGACCAGCAGGTCGCAGTAAATTCGTTCTGGGGAACAGTAAACGTCAGGAGAAATATTTATCAAAATACCAACATCAGCGAAACTGAGCAAAAAATTGCAAATACAGTATTAAACAAGTAGCAATAAATTCCGTTAACGTACCTCCTGTACTAATCTTTAAACGAACCTTTTTTAGAAATATGTAGACGATGGTAGAAGAATTTTCCTGTAGAGGTACCAATAGAATAAAAAAATTAATATTGAAATATCACAAACAAAATTAATTGGATTTAATATTGAAATATTACAAAACTATTTAGGTTCAATATAATTATTTAACACAGCGTGAATGCTACAATTTCGATAGAAGTTGGAATTAATTAAGCAGTAAATCAATCTGATTTCGTTCAGGTAAAAAGGTAAGACCATCGGCCTAATGTCCATTAACAATGTTAATAATTCACGATAAGGAAACTGGAGTTCAAGGGAACACAGTCATGGAAAGACCGAGTTTCGGGGGAAAAAATCGTGGAGCTTGATGGAACACGGTATGGCGTGACTCGATTATAAATTCGCTTGATTATTATACGGAGGCGGCAGCGTAGAGAAGAAATAAAAAAAAAAAACGGAGAGAGGCCCAGTGGTTCCGAGTTAAATATCTCGGACGGCGTAGCGAAAATGTTGCGGCAACAGGGCAGGGGGTCTCGGCACGATGTTAACGAGCAAATTCGTCTTCATTCATGACTCTTAGACCTCGAGTTTTAAAGCACGATGAATACAAGGCTGTGCTATCAATCTCCGCGGTGCCTGCATCTTTCATGATTCACAATGCATCACGACGATTAACTTTTTCCATCGTGCGCCTCGGGGGCTTCACTTCACGGATATCGCGTTGCTATTCAATTTCGGGCTGTCTTATCAGTTGCCAACTCTTAACATTAATTTGTTTTCGTTGGAATATATACAGGGTGTTCAAAATAAAAAGTGTTTGCGAGACTTTATAAGTGTTTGCAAAGGTTCCGAGATTTAAATTTTCGACAACCTTAGATCTACAAAATTTAAGTTTCATTTTAATGAAAATGTAAATTTTATTATTCTTCGGTTACTCGTATAATCCCGCAACATGTGCAAAATCCTAACAGACAACAATAATGTCGTATTTCTATGTAAATTGAAATCTGCAACCCGTCAATCCATCACGGATCTCCCATCATTTTCTCACGTACCGTATCAATGTTCGACTGAAACAGGGATCATTTTGCAAATAATTTCCCCTCGGATTACGTTCTCCTATTGTTTACAAGTTAAGGAGAGAGGAATGGGGCCCGGTATCGAAATGATCCACGTTGATCGCTAATGGAATTAATCAGATCCACCGACTCGCCGTTCCCGTGTGCTTCGTTAATTACGACATCGACAAAGTATGGCTAGCCTACAACAGCCTGCGCGGAATACCGTCAGTAGTATGTCCATATACGAGAGAATATTCGACCGTGGTCATTCATTAACGGGGAGTGGGAAGATCGTTGATGGGCGATGGATACGCATCTAACAGCTCTCCATTTTCGGGTCGAATAGTCCATAGAGCTGGTAAAATCTTCGGTAATTGGAGTTTCGGCTTGGTAATTGTACATAAAACCCTGATATCGATTCGATGATATCGATCTGACCTGATATCGATTCGATGATGGCCCCCTTGCACTCTCAATCACTGAAATAATTTACACGAATTAATAATATACATTGCTATGAAGAGAAAATTCCATAAAAATTGTTAGTTGCATTGTCTTTGGGAAATACCAGTATATCTATTCCTTTTATTGCGCCGGACGAATCAGTTTCCTTCCATTTTAAACGAGCCCATAATCTAATATTAGCACCTGTAGCTTTCGCTACGGAAGCATTGTTAACGAGGAATTCGAGGTACCATTGTTCGCCAAGGTAGGAATACTTCACCGAAGGCAAATTTAATTAGACTTAATAGATTCCTCCAAACGAACGTTTCAAGAAATCGTTAAGTCTTAGGTCGAATCGTAAACGGTTTTCATACTTGAGCATTGTTAGACCTCTCAACAAAAATTTCCGATTATCACATTTTTCCACTCTTATACCATTTCTGTCACATCGCTGACGCGCAAAAATATCGTCGTCACCTTCGCATTAAGTCGTAATTCGCCGATGATACGAGTCGGAATTGACTTCCACTTCGCGCCCCATCGTGTTTCCCCTTCACTGCTCGTTTCGTCACCCTTAATCGACGTTCGTAAACGTTGTTGCGCCCCTGTTGTAACGCGTTTTATTCCCCTGTTTGGCAATAAACCGCGAGAAGGAAACCGGCTGGTCCCGTTGGATTTTCAGCAGTCGTCCGTGTTTCCATGAACAGTCACGCGGGGGGTGGTAAATAATAGCACTTATTTCACGCTATCATTCCGTACCAAATGGTTTATGAACGTAGTAAACGAGCAACATTTCTGGTCGCGTAACGTCTGATATTAATAAAACGTTATCGTCGACCGATTTCGTTTATTCGATATCGACGCGCTGCCGAGTTCCGGGCTGTAAATTGTTATTGACGACTGGGAGGGCAACCTGTTCTATTATTGCCATGGGAGGTTGATAGCGAGACGATTCGATCAAATAGACGTCTGACGAGCAATTTTAAGTCAATACTTCACACAGACCTTCTTCGATTGAATTTCTTTTGTGTATAGAGCAGGATCTGTTTTATATTTTATTAGTAGGTATAGTCTTTTGTATATTATCCTTTCGTCTGGAGTTCTCTCACGTAGTGTATATAGAATTTTTAGTCTTTTGGTGTTCAAACGTTAAGGAATGAAATGTTAAGGTATCAACCGTTAAGGTATCAACCGTGAGGGTACCAACCGTTGGGGTGTCAAACGTTAGGGTATCAATCGTTGGGGTGTCAATCGTTGGGGTATCATCGTTATGGTATCAACTGTCAGGGTATCAACCGTGAGGGTACCAACCGTTGCGGCTTGAACCGTTAGGGTATCAACCGTTGGGGTATCAACCGTTTGGGTATCAATCGTTATGGTATCAACTGTTAGGGTATCAACCGTGAGGGTACCAACCGTTGGGGCGTCAACCGTTAGGGTATCAATCGATGGGGTA